CTAGAAAGTCCTTCTTTCGTCTTTTCTGTGTAACAGCTTCATGGGTCTGTCACTATCCGCCTATCTCTTGAGTCACCCTAGGTGTTGTTTGGCCTACCTGGATGATACTAAAGGGGTGTTGAAATTCGTGAACAACTTCAAAGTGATGTTCGGTAACCAAAACATGATGTACAATATTCATGGCTTACTGCACTTGTGCTATGAATTTACACACCATGGGCCTCTAGATTGCTGCTCGTGTTTCCCTTTCGAGTCTCACATGGACAGTTTACAGAAGCTAGTTAAGGGACCGAATAAACCAGTAGTTCAAATACACAAGCGGATTACAGAGAGGTGCAATTCTGGGGTTACACATGTAAATACAATCGTCATATGGAAATGTATAGTGGATATTGCAAATCAGACGACTTGCCTTAACGGAATGCAGTTGTCAACTGTCCAACCCGATAAGCGCGTTTTAGTCGACCATGTACCAGGCATAAGTAGTGGGATGATAGGCCATAAGGAATTTAGTTCCCGCACGTTTCAAGATCCTGAATCATTCCTCCATCACTGTATCGACTCTGAAGACTTGAGAATTTACAAGGTTACCAACTTAACGTCTACTTTACGTCTTTGTAGATTTAAAAGCATAAATCCCGAATGCGCTTACCTTTCACTTCTATACTATTCAGTAGTTGTACCCTTACTGAACTCATAGACTACTGCGTATTATAAAGAAATTACTAATGAATGCACGGAACACAGTCAATGCTGACCAACCAGTACTTACCTACATCTTAGTATGATGAGCTGCTTACCTTGCTTAAATCGCATGTCTGTACATCTTACCTTAATATATTTTGGTCATAGTCTCCCTTTTCTAATGGAATTTAGTTCAAAGTCGTAGTTAAAAGGTTTTCTAGATGTTACATAACTACATTATTGTGAAAGTACCTGGCCTCAGGAAGACTGTCATAGCCTGGATACATCATGAACTGATACGACTTAAAAATGGTGACAGCCTTATTGATTCACAAACCCATGCACGCCCAGAAGAAGGTACTCCAAGTTACTAATTCCGCAGGTTGGGTACATACGGTGAGTTGAGTGTAATGATGCATTTCGTGTAGAAACTCTTTGTTCAGCACAGGCTTTCCCTGCTTTTACTCCAATTGACAACAGCAGTTTATCTGCTTCATCCGATACCGAACCGGCCACAGCTTCCTGACCACCAAAGAAAGACAATTGTGCACCAACTGTTTACCTTTCAGGAGGAGTGTTATCAGACTTAAAGCTCTTCAAGACTGTGAAACGTCTGATTTGCCTGAACGCTTGCTCGGAAATACGGACTTCATCAACACACCGAAATTCAGGATGCCGGTTGCAAGCTCTATTTTCATGTATTTTTCACTTTTCCGTCATAATCATATATTTGTAGTCTGTCTCCTCCTCGCTTATTCTCACTGGAAGCCAGCACCTCAGCTACATCTCGGTTAGCGTATGTGTGAGTTTAATATATTCTGTTGCAGAACGGCCTGCACAGGAAGGTAAACGGACTATTGCGATGTGGACAGGGTGTTAAGTATGTTTTCTCATGCTTCATTTGATTTCCAGAGAAAATGGATGAGATGGCTTTGCAGATGCGGTATCTACAAAAGATGCATAACAGGGTGTTGGAGGTTTCCAATGAGAAAAATGATACTGCGAGGGACTCAGTTCACAAGCTGACATCGTCTGGTAGGTGGCATCTAAACGATGACGAACAGATGCAGGAAATGGAGCGGAAGCTTCAAGACCCTACATTTCAGAACGAGGTCTGTGAAGACATTTCCAACCTGGTGAGTTCCGATATTGAGGTCCGGTTAGAAGGATCAAGGGTACCGTACTGTCAGTCATCTGAATACAGCACCAGTTACTCATGGTCATTAACCGCAGTGAAGAAGCCACTCAAGAAGACTTTACTATGCAAGCTTATCATCGGTAAGTCTATATCGATACACGTGTACATTATTCTCCCTAGGAGGTATTTTTGATTATCACAGGCACTGCAGCTACAGCAAATCTGCAACCACCGACAAAATAGCTGTAGAAATACAACACCGGTTCCACAACAACAGAGACCGAGTGAGAAAAGAGGATAGAAAGGGAGGAAAGCCACATTTGGTAAGCATATTTCGTTCGGATACCAATTATTTATAGAATGCTGCTGGTAATGACGTCAGTGGGAGTAGAAAGCCATCGGATTAGGGTCCAAATATCTAACATTTATAGTGTGAGCGTGGAGAACTAACAGTTTTTGATCTCTCGCGTCCAGTTCTTAGGGCTTGGCTCAAGTTGTTCGGTCCACTCCTGCAGTGGACCAGGAAATCTCTCTGTTTTCTTGCTCCAGTGTGGTGGGTGTTTTGTGGGTTAGTAAGTCCCAATTTGTATAGTGATTGGGGAGCTACGGGTTGCTGGGGAGGTTGGGGGACTGTCGTGACTCCTGTCTGTGTAGGTACCCGGGTGAGAATAGTAAAGTAGCGGCAAAGAAAGAAAAATAAAACAAAGAAGAGGGAAGAAAAACGCATTCAGGAGTTGCCCGAAAGGTAAAAGTAGATAGCGTAGGTCTATTTTCTGGAGAAGAATCAGTAGGTAATATGGGTGTATTACGGAGAGAGATAGTGAATGGTATGTAGAAGGGAGGTGAGAGTCGACTAGTGAGGTTGGTGACTCCCTGAGTACGTCCGTGATAGACCATGCGAGATAACATAACTGTCTAACCGTCTCTTGAATGAGTCAACTGAGGAGGCTATGACGATATGTTGCGGTAGGGCATTCCATAAAGCACATACCTTCAGGGAGAAAATACTGGACCTGAGCATGGTATTGGCTGTCTGATTTGCTAGCCTAATGGGGGTTTCCTCGTGATGCCGCTGTGTTGCAGGCAAGGCTAATTTGTTTGCGTGGTTTGCCTGACAGGCGATCTTGTAGGCCATAATAAGGTCACTCCTCTTCCTGCGATAACCCCAGATGAATAGGTTTAGGTGCTTTAGTCTTTCAGGATAAGCCTTTCCCTTTAGGCCCACAAATGATTCTGTTGCAATTCTTTGTATTTTTTTCAAGGAGATTAGAGTCTCTCTTGAGTGTTGGGAGGCAAGATATTGAAGACCTTTAGGTGTGGCCGTACGTAGGATTTGAAAACGGTGAGGAAGAGTTCGGGTGTGAAGGCACTAAGCTGTCTACACAGAAAATGCAAAATGGCGTTCGCTCTAGTTGTCACATTTTTGTAGTTGGAGCTGGAGTGGAGGTTCACTTATACCAGCTGACATGATTTTGTGAAGCAGGACTGTGGGCGGGACACTATCAAATGCTTTGGCTAGGTTGAGAAAAATATGTACCGGTTTTCTGTTGTCCCAGCTGAGTGTCCAGTCGTCCCAGGCCGTTAGCAAGTGAGCGATCACTCCGAAATCCATGCTGAGCAGTATACACGGTGTTTTCCCTGTTGAGGAATTCCCACACAGTCAGCTACCAGGGTTTCTAATACTTTTGACAGTATAGGGAGTAGAGCAATTGGTTTGTAGCTGCCAGGGCTTTTTCTGTCTCCTCCCTTGAAGATGGGTGACAATATGGCACACTTCCATTCTTTAGAGAGTTTGCATGACTGCTGAGTGCTTGAAGAGGTTGCAGAGTGGTTTTGCAAGCACCTCGACGCAGTTTTTTAGGATCACCGGTTTTAGGTCATCGCAGCCAGGGGACTTGCCTGGACGTAGCCTAGATAGTTTCTCCGACACTTTTTACTGTGGTTGAGATGTAGCAGAGGTGTTCGTTATTTATGGTCTGGCCAGTGTCGTAACGAGTCCGTGTGGGTTTGGTGTTAGTAATAAGTTGGGCTTGGAAGTGTGAGCTCAGAAACTTGGCAATCTCTAGACTTCTTAATACACTCCCATCAGGACCTGTGATAAGATTCACTCTCTTCGTGGTAGACTTCCTCTTCGACATGAAGCGGTACAGGTTTTGGGGGCTGCTTTGTAACCTCCCCGCCAGGTTTGTTTGATATGAGAATCTGTCGCTACGAACTCTAATGTTACAGCGGTTGCGAATCATTTTGTAGTTCAAAAAGTCAGACTCCCTGCGTGATGAACGCCACTTGAACCAAGCGTGCTTCTCGCTCTGAATTAGCCTCTGTCCCACGCTTTAGCCATGAGGTGCTCACTGACGGTCTATGTATTACCTTTGGTAAACTGTGACTCATGGCCCCAATGACCATTTTCTTCACTTGTATTCAGTGTTCATCTATTGTGAGATGAGTCCAGTCTGCCGGCCATGATGCATTCATGAGATAGTCTCTCATGGCCCTGCTGTAGCAAGGGAAGGTGTTGGGGGTCTCCGGTTGCAGGGTCTCCTAAGTAATCATGGAGAAAGTTATTACTGCGTAGTCACTGAGGTCAAGGGGAGGCTAGACACATACATCCTCAATGAGACGGTCATCATTCGTCAGAAGGTAGTCAAGGGTTGTTTGGATGAGCAAAACGTGGGAGAAGTCATAGAAGAGTTGGCTTACGAAATTGGCCACGTGAACTGCAATGTTTAACTTTAATGAAATATATTTCTCGTGGACAATGTCAAAGCCTCCTAATTTTCTTTTAGTCAGTTATGCAACCTGCTTCTTTAGTTATGGAAATGTATGACACCTTGGGCAAAGCGTATAGACAGCGATGTATTTGTCTGAAAACCTTGGTTCGACTATGGGAACAGTGAAATATTCTGCAAATAATTTCGGACCAACGTCCACAGTGCCATATGGCACTAAGGACAGAACGGTCTGTAGTAAACTTGGGGCTAACCTCAGGAACTGCGAAAAAAGTGTTGCGTCGCCCTAAGTTTTTCAGCTTAGATTCATCCCTAAGTTGCCGAGGTTAGCCCTAAGTTCATGCGGACTGGCATGTCCTTAAGGCTGAGATCAGTCGTGAAGGTGACTATCTATCACAAAACTCCAGTCATACCAAGATTTATAGAATGAAATTTCTGTGGGTGCTAACCTAAATCTCTGGATAGTGGTTCGTAGATGGTTTACAAAAACCAAGTACAACTAAAGACGTAGCAAAACACTCATAATGAGCGGGACTATGCTGTCACGGTAGCAAATATATGTGTATATGTATTTAATTATAAGGATATGTGAACCAATCGATTTCATCACGCCCACGTCTTAGCTTTGAGAAACGGTTGCAAGACTTTGGTAGATTTCGATGCATTAGTTCTACAGACTCCCTTGCTGTAGTTCTGGTTAGCCCACCGGGTGGTTAAGTGTCGATTTAATTTGCATGGGTTCCAATATCCAACATCTTTTTACGAGCTAGTGTAAACTAGTTGGTTTCCTCGCACTAGCTTCTAGGTTCTGCAGAACAGTTCCAGGTCTTTGGTGAATTCCGATGCAGTAGGTCTACCCACTCGACTGCTGTAGCTCTGGTTAGCCCGACTGGCGGCTGGGTGTCGGTTAAGTTTGTAGGTAGTATGTTGTTGTTTTTTCCGAGGACTGTGATGCAGATGGGTTCCTCATATGTCGTGCCAGCAGGCAATTGTTCTGACTCGTTGTAAAGAGGAGATGGAAAATATGTCCACGGAAATCAAGGGAGAGAAAGTGGGAAGAAAAACAAACAGCAGAAAAAAGAGAACAAACGATTTGGAAAAAGGAAACGGTATGGAGGAAGAAACGTCGGTAGATTCATGGGAGAGTGGCGATAAGGACAGGTTTTATTAAAGTGTGAGAACGTAAAATCAGTGGGCACAGAAGGGGCAAATAACATTATACGACGGCTTATGGGAATAAAGATGGTAATTTTATTAGTAGGAGACGGTAACTGGAGGGGAGGTCTATATGGGGGTGTAAGGTTGGGCCAAGTTTGCCGTTATAGTGCTATTACAAAGCGTTCGATAATGGGTTGGCTGTACTGAGTTGGTAGGTCGTGTTAGCCTAGTCCATAAGCCAGCTGAATGGGCGCAAACCGTGTTTCTAACCTCTTCTTGAGGCTGTCAACACACAGAGCAGTCGCAACCTCGGTGAGCAGTGCGTTCCAGTGACCGCAAACTGGCAGGGTGGTGAAGTTTGATCGCACGAGGGTTTTAGCTCTTTGGTGGGAGATTCTCCTTGGGTTACCACGAGGATTACCACACTGGACTTCGGTAGGATTCCACTGTTCGGGTAACTTGGGCTACCTAGTATTTTGTAAGCCGTTATCAAGTCACCATGTAATTTACGATAGCTTAGAGAGTAGAGCCCTAGACCTTTCAGCCTGTCCCGATATGGTTTTCACCCTATTCCTACGACACCCTTTGTAGCTCGCCCTTGGACATCCCCCAGGAGGTTCACATCTCTTCAGATATGGTGGTGCAATGACGTTGTGGACCCCTAAGTGAGGCCGTATATGGGTCTTGTACAGCTTCAAATGAGTTCCGGGGTCAGGGCACCTAGTTACCTGCGCATGAAACGAAGTACTGCGTAAGGTTCTGGAAGCATCTCCTGGATAGTCGGAGCTAGTGTTCAGTTCGTCGGTCGGTATTGGTCCTAGGTCTTTCTTCGTGGTGGTGTAGGAAGGTCGTGTTCCATAGACAGAATTGGGTACCTTCTGAGTCTGGGGTGCGGAGAAACATGACTTGGCACTTATCCAGATTGAGTGCTTATTCAATAATATCCACAGACTCTGCAAGTAATCTGAGGTCACTTTGCAGTGCGCTCGATTCTGTTTCCGACGTCATCACCCTACATAAATTAACATCGTCAGCGTAAAGAAGAACTAAGGATCTGAGATTCAGTGGAGGGTTGTTCACAAGAAGAAGGAATAGCAGCGGACCCAGAATCGCTCCTTACGACACGCCAGGTGATGATGTCCTCCAAGTCGAGCAAACCCTTGGTTTTTGTGCAGAATTGTCTGCCTGCCAAATAGCCTTGTAGCCAGGAGAGCGCTTCACCCTTGATTCCAAACCTTGATATCTTGTGAATAAGAATGGTGTGAAGGACTGTGTCAAAGACCTCGGCAAAATCCAAGAAAATAACATGAACAGGAATTCGGGGGTCCCAACATGCTGTCCACTTACCACTGGCCGCCAGAATGTTTGAGGCACAGGACCTGCCCTTTCTGAAACCCAGCCGAGCATCACTTACTGTTCCTCTCTTTTCCAAGTACTCCTTGACATGGTCGTCTGCTAGGCTGTCCATTACCTTTGACACCTTTGGTAGGAGGGATATGAGTTGATGGCATTTTGGGTTCAGCCTGTCTCCTCCTTTGAAGACATGGGAGAGAATAGCATGTATCCACTCTCGTGGAAGCATGTGACTGTCTAAGCAGTGTTGAAACAGATTACGCAGCGGGATGCACAAGGCACCCGCGCATTGTTTCGACTCAGCTGGTCGGATGTCACCGTGTCCCGGTGATTTCCCTCCACGGAGCTTTCATGGCATTTCGAGAACCATAGCAGGAGCTGCCTATACCCCTTGCAGCTCTACTGCATTTGGTGGTGCCGAATGTTGCCCGGGCAGTTGGCAGTCTTGGTTAGGTGGAGATGTGTTTAATTGCGTGTCGAAGACGGTGCTAAAGGCTCCGGCGGCCCCTGGTCCGGAAAGGTTTTCTCCGTTCGGGCTCTTCGAAACGCAGGTCCCCTAGCTGGTGGAGTTTCTACCTGCCATAAATCGATATAGGTTTTTGGGGTTCGTCTCGAGCTTCTGGGCAAGATTCGTCTGGAACGGCCCCCTGTCTCCCCTCACTTTGATGTTGCATCGATTTCTCAGGGCCATATACGCGGTGTGGTCGGGCTCTTTTCTGAAGATTCTCCACTTATGCCACTCTTTCCTCTTGGCTTCCAAAAAGCTTTCGGTGCCCCGCTTCAACCACGAGGTTTGCTTCCTCGGCAATACTATGATTACTGGGACGTTTTCAGAAACAGCCCTCCTGATGACATCTCTAACTAGTCCCCATGTCGATCAGTCGAAGGGCTACTCCGCTCCTGAGGTCATGGCGTCGTGGACAGATACTGGTTCATCGCCTTACTGTGGCAAAGACATGGGCGAGATCCCTACCATGACAGTTGTTCGTTGAACACTAGGCCAAACGCTGCCACGCCGTGATCGCTGCCGCTGATGGGAGTTTGAACATGAACGATTTCAGCCAGCCTGTGGTCGCTAGCAAAAAGGTAGTCGAGTTTGGGTGGTTTTCCGCCCGACTACCCAGCGAGTGCCATCGCCAACATTCTTGTGCAGTTCAGCCTTTTTGACAGTGTTGAGCAAGTTTTGGCCGAATTTTCGGCTTGGGGTTCCCTCGTCCTTCCCAAGATATGGGGTTGGAGCCATAATGACTCGTTCATGTCTCACGGATGTCGCTCCAGACATTTCTTGCAACAGTTGTCGATTATGTTCCACGTTGCTGGTAGGAGTTCTGTAGATGCCCCCCCCCCACCAAGCAACTGGCGTTTTCAACCCTAAAGTGACACCAGATGGAGTCTGGGAGCCCCAAAAGTACAGTTTCGGTTGCCGGTTCACTTTTAAGTTGGCCACTTATAAACATTGCCACTCCGCCTCCTTCCTTACACTCCCTTTCTCTCCTGAACAGGTGCATACCATCTATACTAGTTTTGATGCCACCAATATCCGGTGATAACCAAGTTTCTGCCGCGATCATGATCGCTGGAGCAATGCAGGAACAGAGAGATCGCAATTCCCTCATCTTACTTTTAAGTCCCCTCACGTTACTGCAAAGACACTTGAGTATGTCTCTAATAACATAGGGTGTCCTGGTGGTGGCAGACTGAAGGGGTTGTGCGCGGTGGCGAGACGTGTTACGAGACGGCCAGCTCCAGTAGAACCGGCATAATCAGGTTTTTTCCCACGGTGGTTTCTGGGGGTTCTACAGAGTCTAGTCTGGTTTGAATATCTTGCCTGTTGACGGCGATGGTGGCTTCGGCACTAGGCGGGGCTGTCGTTCTCTGCTGTCGCAGTGTCCTGGGCCTACTTTCACAGCAATGAAAGTCCCTGCTGATGTTGTCTTTTACTGCATACCAAGTTTGTAGTACTTTGATTAAAAGTTTTTCGCGCCCGAAGTTAATAGCCATCAACCCAGGTGACGCTATCGTCATCAAATGTGGGTAACGTGGTGGCCTGCGGACCGCACCGCTACTATCTCGTTTAACCCCATCCTCGATGACAACCACTGCCGTTGTTGGACGCCGTGAGAATACTTCCCTACCAGTGTGCCGGTTGTTAGTCCTGGTACGCCGTGGACAACCGTGGTTGTCGGTTTCAGCGTGTGGGGCACCCCACGAGGTGCTTTTCCCACCGACCATAGCCGGTCTGGTCTTGCCCTGATGCTGGATGACCTCTTGGCGACTAGCGTGTGTGACGGCAACAAGAATCCTTCTGCTTCCTTATCCGAGGTCAGGGTCATTCTAATCGGCGGAGGCCCTCCCTGAGGTGAGTAGTTGCCTTTGTAGGGCCGTCAAAGCTTTGCTTCTAAGCTGCCCAGTAGTAGTGTGGCGCATACCGTTTCCCATTGCTGTTTGTCGGAAGACTCTGTGTTCTCAAGAAGGCCATCATGGCATGTCAGATAGGACGATGGAATTTGGTCTGCCATCAGCTTCTCTGTTTTCATGTACTATGAGTGGGTTTTTGTGGGGAGGGTGCGCCTTCTTCACTGCCACTCATTTCCCCCGATGTACAGTGGGGATAGTAGTCAAAGTGACTTCAGGGTCGGGGACTAATGTTAATGGTCGCCTAGGTCCTTTTGGACTATTCACAGGTGTGGTTGTTCGGGGAACGGTGCCGACACTTTCGTCGTTTGGGCCTGGAGTAGTGGTCTGCATAGGTACCGGCATCACAGTGGCCACTGAGGTGCCTCCCACGACCTTCCTAAGCGAGCCTGTGGAAGCGAGTGGCCTCATACGGCACTGTGGGCAGGTGTGCCAGAACCGCGTGTATGGGTAGCCAACCATTACGGCTTAATATTGACCCGGCATGTCCCCATCACACTGACTGTGTAACCACTTATCGCGGATGTTACACACGAAGCCAACGTCCATTTTGGCCACGGCGAGATCAAACGTGTGACCAGAAGGCTTAGTCAAAGACTTTCTTACCCTTCCGTTC